AGCTTTTCTTTCTTTGCACTTTTTATAATTGATCGCGTGTCTCCTGGCCTTCTTTTTCTTTTTAAAAAGCAGTGGGGGATATCCGTGCCCTCTAACGTGAGCAGCCTCTACCTGCTCAGGGAGATCTGAGCTTAAGGACGAGCATGGCGCAAATGCCCCAGGAGATTGCGGTGTGAGAGATGACATTGAAAAAGGTCTGGCTTTTAAAGCTCAGACCTGGGAGGCCTGGACTCTTTTTCTTTTCTTCTTCTTCTTTTCTGAAGAGTTGTAGAAGCCAGAGTTTCAAGACCGTCTTGGTTGTGCTGCCTTATTTAGGAGGCGAGTTGCTGCTCATTTGTCAGGCAAAACAGATGTGGTGGGGAGACAACATCTATTTTCATAATTCGAAACAAATCTGGCGAGCCGCCTTCCTTTTCAGCGGGGCCTGCTCATGCAGAAAGCCCAGCTCCCAGGCAGCATCTAGCAGAAATATTTATAGCTCATCCATTGAACTTTCCTTCCTCCAGGAGGAGCTGGTTTCTGCTGGCGATGGGGACACAGACTTGATAGGGAGTGGGTGCTGTTTCAGGGATTTTTTTTTTAAATCAAAAACTGGAGGAGTGTGGGTCACAGCCAGCGACGCAGCTGTGCCTCTCCTTCTCGTGTCCTTTCGTCTTCCAGGTGTGGGGCGTTGGCCACGGGAACCTGCTCTGTAGCGTTTAGCAGCCTCTTTACTGGGAGGGCAGTTAAAGACTGACTTTGAAACTTCTCTGGGCCGGTGGCTAGGACCCCGACACTCCAGGGAGAGCCAGGACCTGGGCCCCTAGTTACCAGTGACTTTGTGCTTAGGTGTGCAAGGGCAGCGGGCTGTCATTTCCCCGTTTTATGGATGAAACCACCGAGGCTTAGAGAACAGCTTCCCCAAGGTCACGCACAGAACTGAGCACCATTCACTGTCAGCTCAAGCCTTCATTCCCACTGGGAGGCTTTGCTACACCGTCACCTCCCATCAGAGGTAGCCGTGTCTGTCTGTATATAATAGCGACCTAAGGAAGGAGGACAGACCTGGTATTTGGGTGAATCACCCATCGCCTGTTCATTTATCCAGTAGGTGAGCTCCTTCCCTGTGCCACTGGAGATGGGAGGACTTGGTGAATGGAACAGGCCTGAGCCTGCCCTCAGGGAGTACTTGTCTGGAAACAGAGTCAGATACTGAATGGAGGAGGAGACTCGACAGCGTCACATGACTGTGCCTGGGGGCTGCTTTCCTGGAGGTCTGAGAGGGTCTCTCAGCAGGGCTGACCTTGTGCCAAGAATTGAGGGATGAGAAGGAGTCAGCAGTGGGAAGACCTTGGGGGGAGTACCTCAGGCAGAGAGGAGAAGCTGGGAGGGTGGGGTGTGCTCAGATAGATGTGGTGGCCATGTCCAGTTCCCCGCTGGCTGTGTCACCTTGAGGGGGACTGATCAGGTTTCAGTTCCTTCTTCTGTAAAATGAGGGGGTGACTAAAAAGTACACAAGTTCTGATTCTAGGAAAACCACAGAGAATCGAGTTTTGTAAGGTGCTGCTGGTAGGGGAAGCGGTGGAGGGTGTATGGAGAGCTCTATTACTTCTTACAAAATTGAATGTGAAACGACAATGGTTGCTAAAATAAAAAGTGGGTTATTTTAAGCAGTGAAAGGTCAGGGAGGGCCCTTCCCTTCTCGATGCTGGGACCACCCTTGTTCAAGGCAGCGCTGCACCTTCCTCACAGTCGTCCCAGGAAGGGAACACCCTAGAGAGGTCTCTGGCTATCACCCACAGATGTTAGAAGTGGGACTGGCTTCAGGGCAACTCCGGGTTGCCTAGCGCAGGGCTCCCTCCCTGGCAGGAAGGAGACCCATGCAGGGTGAGGGTGCCCTCAGGAGCTCAGGCAGGTGGCAGGTTTCGAGGGGTGGGGGTTCCCAGTGGCAGTGATGGAGGGGTGCTTCTCGTTCCCCAATGCCGTGATTCCACGCAAGTGGATGGAGCATGCTGGAGAGGTCAGGAAGGAACATGGGCACCTGCCTCACAGCTGCCCCACCAGCACTCAGGCAGGCATCACGAATCACACTGGGCCGTGTCCCTGGTAGCACCCGGGGTAGATGAATGGGGACTCCCAGGCCCTGGGGTGCCTGGAAATCCCATCACCTGAACAACCAGCAATAGAGATCGCCTTTGGGAGCTTCCAGCCAGTCAGAGCACAGCTCTGCAGTTCAGAGGCCACGCAGGGCCATTCCAGGTCTTTATAAAGACTGAATGAAGGCCCTTGGTTTCTTAGAATCCTTTTAGCTTAGGGTTTCCTATGCATTTGGGTAAAAAGACGCTCAGTGACTGCCCTTTGTGCCAGAGGTGGAACCTAGAAGTTGTCCTAGACTCCAGTTTTCCTGCAGATTGACATTCTCAGAACTCCTTCCCTCCCTTCCTCACTGACCTGGCCCCGACCCGTGGGATGATTTTCATTCTCCTGCCTCCAGAGAAGGACCTGTGAAGCAGTGCTTATGTCCTCACACAGACTGCTTTCCGCCACGTTCCCTCACCCGTGTGTTCATTTCACAAACATTTACGAATGCTAGTGTGCATTGATCGTTGATCAAGGTAGTTGTGACCCCAACCTTCGGAAATGTACGATCCAAGTGTGAAATGAACAAGTGACCTTTCCTAAGCGTTTGCTTTCAAAATAGATTTTTTTAGACTAAGTTGTTATTCTTTAAACCGGTTGTCTGTGATTTAAGTCCCTGCTGCTGTCTTCATATTGAGGCCTAATTAGGAATCAGCTGTTGCCTGGCTAATGTTTATTGAGCAAGCACTATGCACCCGGCACTGTGCCTTAGATATTCACTATCGTCTGATTTAATCCAGAGTTCCTCGACCTTGGCGCTGACATTTGGGCTGCATAATTCTTTTCTGTGGGAGACTTTCCTGTGCATGGCAGGGTGGATGTTTAGCTACTTCCCCTCACCCACTAGATGCCAGTAACACCCCCTCCCAATTGTGGCAACCACAAATGTTTCCAGACATGGCCAGATGTCCCCTGGGGGCACAATCATCTCCGGTATAAGAACCACACCTTAGCCCTAGCAGCTGCCCTTGAGGTCCCAGTCCCTTCATCTGCGGGATGCGGGTGATGACGGGACTCCTCAAAGCGGCTCCTTGGGAGCTTTGAATGATATAATGCACTTAAAGCTCTTAGCACGACCCGGCTAAAGCTGGAGTGGCTGCAGCTCTCCCCGCTGGTGTGTCTGAGTGTCTGATGGGCAGAAGTCGTTTTTACCATCCACTCATCCCTTCCACGGTTCCCTGGGGCTTGCAGTGCAAGCTGGACTCTGTGCCACAAGCTAGGCTCACCTTGCAAAGATGGTCAAGGTCACAGCCATTGTGACCCTCACTCCCACCAGGAATGCCAGCGTGGACAGCCTGTACCCAAGGAACTGGAAGGTGCAGGCTCTGGCCCTGGCCCGCTTTGCTCAGTTGCTCTGTGTCTCTGGGCAACTCCCCATCTCTGGCCCCATCCTTTTCTCATCTGACCCATTTTAGGGGCTTCTAAGCCACTTTCCTCCCCTAGAGACTCAGTATCTAAGAGGGTGAGTTTTTCCCAAGGTTTTCCCCTGGGTCATTCACAATTCTGATCACTTGGGGATCTCTGAGCCACTCACAGTGCCAGGTGACCACCCCCTTCCACCATAACAAATTCACCTATGTGGCTCCAGCAGTTGCTTTTACATCCTGGGCTTCATGATTGAACAGGTGGTTCCTCCACTAAGGGAGCAAGCGCCTGGTCAGAATCTGTTCATCTGTAGTAGGGCACTTGTAAGGCCATTCCCTGCAGGTCCCGGAACCCACCACTGAACGATGTCGATTTCAGTCTGTTGGACACGGCTCCCACATTGGCTGAAAGGAGCTTCCCCAGGAGTTCTGATGTGTGCCATGCTTGGAAAATCACACTGGAAAATGATACCTGAATCGTTTCAAGTTCACGTTGTCTATGTTGCCTTTGCCCCAGTACACACACACAGCCACCTGCAGGAAGTCTCAATGCAGCTTTGCCAAGCCCCAATTAGTTCCTCATTGCATCTTCACGCTATGCCCCAGGAGGTAGGGTTTCTTGCCCTTGAATGAGACAAAGGTTCCTACCTCAGGGCATTTGCCCCTGCCGTTTTGTTCAGCCAGGAGTGTTCCTTCCCCAGCTCCCCTCATCTTGAAGTTCTCTGCTGAAAAGCCACCTCCTCTGAAAGGCTGTCCCTAACTGGATCATCTAAGGAGGTCCCCCCTCCCAGGTGCTTATTATCACAAATCTGCTCTAGTTCTGTTCCATGTTCTGGAGAAGACAGGAGGACTCTTCTTCAAAGACACTCGTGTTGTTCAGAGATCCCTGCAATTCCTGACTCTTGTGTCCCTGAAGTGCTCACTGGCAGAGAAGTTTGCAGTTCTTCCTGAGCAATACGTTGATACTTTTCAATGACACTTTCTCTTGGGGATATAGTGGTAGTATGGGACATCCTACTGGGAGTATTTGATTGTACTGGGGAGGCAGTGACACTTTACATCGGGGAATCCCAAGCTGCCCTCCGTCCCCTGGCTGTTGTCACCTTTAAGACAGAGGTTGGAGGTTCCATGCTTGTTGCTTGGGGCAGACAGTAGGAGCCAATGCTTCCAGGTTACTTAAAATCTCCTTTCCTCGTTTCTAAATTTTAAATGATGTGTTTAGAATTTAATCTTCAAACCTGGGAGCCAGACCTGCCAGTGGAAAGATGACAGCCGAGAGAGGGTTTCGTGTGGCTGCAGCAGCCAGATGGCAGATGCTGTGAGCGGGAGGCGAGGGAGGCTGCGAGAGAGGGAAGCTGCTTCTCTTTCGGCTCTTACCCTCCCTCTGCAGGAAACGAACCCGCTCCCCCAGTGCCAGGCCTGGGCCAGGCCCTAAGGACCGCTTAAGGCTGCTGGCCTTAGAGTCTGCCAGGGGGATTCTAGTGATGCCAAGGGACAGGGCACTCCCAGAACGTTCACTTGTTTTCAGAAAACTTTTTATTTTGAGACAATTGTTTGTTAGCATGCAGTCGTAAAAAAATAATACAGAGACGGTTCTATGTAGATATCCTCCAGCTTCCCACAGTGGTACCATCTTACATAACTGTAGTACAGTGCTAAAGCCAGCAGTTGACATTTGTCACAAACCATCAACCTTACTCACATTTCCCCAGTTTTACACGCACTCATTCGAGTGTGTGTGTCTGTGTGTTTTCGTTCAATGCAATTTTATTGCATGCATAGATTTGTGTAACCACCAGTCAAGACACAACAGTCCCATCACAAGAACTTCTCATTCTACCCTTTTCTAACTGTATCCACCCCCTTACCCATGAAACCACTAATCTCTTCTCCATTTCTATAATGTTGTCATTTTAAATGTGTTATAGAAATGGAGTCATACACTATGTAGCCTTTTGAGATTGGCTTTTTTCACTTAACGTAATTCTCTGAAGACGTCTCCTTGTTGCCGTAGGTATCAATAGTTCATTCCTTCTTGTTGCTGCGTAGTGTTCCAAGGTATGAACGCATCATGGTTAGTTTAACCACTCACCTGTTGAGGGACATCTGGATTGCTTCCAGTTTTTTGTTTTTGTTTTTTTTGCTATGAAAAGTAAAGCTGCTGTGAACTCAGGCACAGGTTTTTGTGTGCACATTAAGTCTTCGTTTCTCTGGGGTGAATGCCCAGGAGTGCAATTGCTGGGTCGGATGGTAGTTGCAGGTTTAGTTTTTGAAAGACCCTTCAGTTTCCGTTCACCTCCATGCCTTCCTCTGGTCTCTGGCTTTGGTGGAAAGATATGAGTGCTGGGGAGCGGGCATTATGCATGGATTCCTTCCTCTTTCACATATTAATTGAGGGCCACTTGTTGTGTCAGGTATGGTGTTAGCCCTCATGGATACAGCACCAGGATAAATAAGGGTCATTGAGGCACTTTCTTGCTGGTGAGGTGCACTTGACGATGAACAAGCAAGCACTTAGAAGGAAGATGGTTTCTCATAGCAGCCAACACTTACTCAGTGCTTCCTACACACCAGGTGCTTTCTGGGTTCTTTATGATCCTCAAACAACCCAATGAGACAGGGCCATAGTTCACTCCATGGTACAGACAAGGAAGTGGAGACACACAGCTGCTCCCACATCCGGCATAATCCATGCTCCTCACCATACCCTGCACTGCCCCTCGTGACCAAGACAGGCCACCAGGCGATGCAGAGTAAGAGAAGAGATGAGAGCACATGTGGGATGACAGACCCAGGGAAAGTCTTCCCACAGCCAAAACTGCATGTGCAAAGGCCCTGGGGTGGGAGCAGGCAAAAGGCCAGGCTGGCTGGCACATGGTGAGCGATGAAGGAGATGGGAGGTGCAGGGGTGAGGTGGGGTGGGCCTCGCAGGGTTTTAACCTGAGCATAGTGTGAGAAGTCAGAGACTTGATTATTTTTAAAGATTGCTCTGGCTGCAGGGTGCAGAATAGAATGGGGTTGTGTTTGCAAAAGAGGAAGTAGGGAGACAAGGAGGCCACGTGGACAAACCCTCTGCTCTTGAGGGATGAGCCCCGAGGCGCTCTCCTCCTCAGCCCACAGGGTTCCCGTGTGGGTGCTCAGCAGTGCAGGGAGGCCTCTCCTCGTGGGGGTCCAGCTCCGAGTGACTGTCCCGCAGCTCCGCCCCTCGAGGGCAGGAGAGCTCATCCCCAGCCAGTCGGCCCCTTGAGCCTCTGCAGCTGGACCGTGAGCTCCCATCTAGATCTGTCTTCTGATGGATGTTTCTGGTTTCTTGAGTTTTCTCACCATGTCTCTTGCTTTCTCTTTCCGTACCTGTTGTGATTCTATAAATTGAATTTACATGCTCAGTATCAGCCACTCCAGATCGTTAATAAACGTGCGCCTGATGTCCTTGACACATTCACCATGCTCGCTGGGTCAGGCGAGGATGCCTACTTTGCCATGTCATGATGGTCACCATTTATTATGCACTTGCTGTGTACCAGTTAGCGTTCAGAGAGCTAGTACCTATGTCCCTGTTGAGTTCACCCTGAAGCAGTCCTGTGAGGCCGGTACTGTTGTTGATTCGTGCCTTACTATGCCTTACTGTGAAGAAGCTGAGGCAAGGGGCCAGGTCACCGCAGACACCACACCTACAGCAAGTGGCTGCATCTGGATTCGAATCCAGAGCCAGGCTGCCTGCCTTCCGCAGCTTTGCTGTGCCCCGTCTTGACACTCAGAGAAAAGACACCTCCAGAAGCTTCCCCTGCTCCCTTCGCAGAACAGTTGGTCAGAACCTCGTCTTCCCAGAATTTGGGATTTTCTGCTTCTGGAAGATGCTGCTTCGAAAGGAAGTGATAGCAAGGGCTGGAATAGCCTCGCCCGTGGGGCGGGGACAGGGAGACGCGGCTGATGTCTGAGAGGCTTAGAACTTCCTTCTTGGAATCTGTTTTTCACGTTGCCTGAAAAAGAAAGAGGAAGAGACTCATACAGATGGAGACACAGGGAAAGACTCAACGGATTTAGACCCCAGACAGTCACACACCGGAGACAGACAGACAGACGGACGGACGTCCCAGCGGAAAGGACACACCCCCAAACAATCGAAGGTGGGAAGCAGACACACAGACGCCCTTGGACACACGTTTGCTGCCCCGGAGCCCCGCCTCTAGCGAGGTCGCCCTTCCCACCTGAGCTCCTTCCCTCCTCGGGCTGCTGCCGGGCCCAGCGGCCCATTCCGGGGCCAGTAGCATTTCCCAGACCCTCCTCTCCCAAACTGGAAAACACTTGTAGCAAGGAGTGTCCCGCCTGTGGGCCAGGGGTCTTCCTGGGCCTCTGAGCCACATATGAAGGTGACGAGCCAAGCTCCAGGCCAGGGTCAGCAAGTTGGCATGGTCGGGGGACACATGGGTCCTGATGGCAGTGACCTTCCAGCTCAGTGGGGCTCCCGACGGACTCAGGCCTTTGCTGCTGGTGGAGAGGTCGGGGCTGCTAGAGGCTGCTTTCCAGGGTGGGTACTTTGTTTTGAGTTTGTTGTCCACTCTTGTGACGAGTGAGAACAGCTGTCACAGCACCGGGCTCCGTGTCCCAGGCACAGGGAAAGTCTGACCCTCCCACCTGAACTTCTGTGACTTTTCTGGGCATGGGAGCGGGATGGGCGCTGACATTGTTGCACCTCTCTGAGCCTCAGATTCCTTATCACGAAAATGGGATGATAATAAGAGAAGCGTACTTCTTGGGAAGCTGCTGAGAAAAGTAAATGAGATGACAGAAACCCCTTCATACGGGGCATGAAGCACAGCAGGAACTCACTGTACCTGCTGCACGTTCACTGTGGTCAGAACGGCTTTAGAAGGGTCCAAGCTATTCCTCATATGTCCACATTCGTCTCTCCAGATAGAAGTCCAGCCTGATTTCCAGGGTACAGAATCAAATTGCTCTGCTCCAGAGAGGACAGATCGTAGTAGAATTTGCATGCCCTGGCTCCTGGGGCCTGGCCTCAGTCATCGTGAATCCTCAGCCCTTGTGCACGGCCTGGCATATAGCAGAAGCATGATAAATATATGCGCTGCCGCAGTGAGGAAATAGGAAGGGAAAGGGCCTGAGGATAGATTTAGATGACAGAAGAAAATGTCTTTCATGGAAAATAAAATCAGACACCCCCTGGGCATCCCTGCATGGAGACAGGGCAGGTTGCTGATATTCTGTCCCAAAGGGGTGCAGCTGGGACTCTGCAAGTCCATCGTCCAGGGCAGGGGTACTGCCTCCTCACCTTGCAGCTCCTTTCCCTCCATTCGGCCCCCTCTGTCTGTCTACACAAGGTGTATTATTCTGTTCAGGTCACTGTAATAAAATAACCCCAGACTGTGTGGCTTAGACAGTAGACATTTGTTTTCCTGCAGTTCTGGAGGTCAAGAAGTCCAAGATCAAGGGGCCAGCAAGTTTGGGTTCTGGTGAGAGCTGCTTTGTGACTTGTAGATGGCCACCTCCTGGCTGTGTCCTCACATGGCAGTTCCTTGGTGCCAGCACATGGAGGGAGGGGGGAGAGAACAAGCTCTGTGCTGTCTCTTCTTATCAGTTCACTAATCCTGTTGGTTCAGGGCCCCACCCTTATGACCTCTTTTAACCTTAATTACTTCCGTAGAGGCTCCATCTTCAAATGCAGCCACACCAGGGGTCAGGGCTTCAATATATGTTGGAGGGGCACAGAGGTTTATAACACAAGGTCCTTTGCTTTCTGCTCCAAACAGGGGGTTTGAGAAGGGAGGTGGGAATGGCCACCTCTATAATGTTACTATTAGCAACAACCCAATAGTGGCTACCACTTGTCGGCCAAGGGAGAGGCATTTACTATGGAACTCTCATGTTGGTTGCATGAGTGAGGCCCCATTTGCTCATGGGATCTGAAGGTGGGAAAGCAAGCCCAGAGAGGGGAGGGTAGCACTGAGGTAGCAGGTAGCAGGGTACGGACTGGTGTGCAGGTGTATGCCACATCCAGGTTCACACCTTGAGCCCCTGTACTGCTCTGGAGGTAGTAGCTTGGCTGATCGTGTGTTGACTGGCTGTGGGTCTTTTTGTTGCCCGTGGAGCAGGTGCCAGGGACACTGGTGAAGGGACACTCGTGATGGGACACTCTCTTCCTTGTAGCTGGGGGTCCCACATGGTGGTGGCGTGCGCTTGATACCACAGTAGTTACTACGACTATGCAGGATGTGGCAGTTCTCAGGCGACCAGCCCTGGGCTTTGAGGGTTAAAGAGGAGTCTACCAGTTAGAGACTGGACCGGAGGACTCCTGCGTGCCAGGCTTATGCCAGCTTTGAGGAGGCTGCAGGACGAGGCGATTGCATCTGACAGAGTGGCCAGACCAACGATGGCAGCAAGACATAGACCGAGGAAAGGCTAAGTCATGACTTAGACATTTTCTTAGAAGTCATAGCAGATGTCTTGGGTGGTATTTACAAAATTAACCACCACATGGGAGAGTTTAAAACCGCCAGAGACAGCCAGAGAAGGAAGTGGCTGCAGGGGCTGGGCCGTTGGAAATGGGGTAGATGCGGGCCACTGAGAATGGGCAGCAGGAGGAGGGCGGGCACCCCAGGCAGGTGGGCCAGCCTGGGCAAAGGTGTGGCCCCAGGAAGGCAGGCCTTCTGCTCCCAGGGCAGCCAGGGTGCTGGCGGCCGAGAGGCATGGACCACAGTCAGGGGCAATTGGTGAAGTCAGGGCGGGGGCCCAGGAGAACCGGTATGTTGGGCTCGGCAAGCAGCCCTCTTACTGGCGGCTGATACTTACTGCGCACCTAAGTGTGCACCAGGTGCCGTTCATTGCATGTAATGGCTCTTCACTGCATCCACACAGCAACCCATGCATGGGTGCTAATGGTATCCCGCTTTTCCAGATGTGGAAACCGAGGCACAGAGAGTGAATGAATCACTTCCTGATGTCCCGTGTTTGGCCATGGGGAGAGCTGGGGGTTGGATCCAGGCAGGCCAGCGTCAGGGTTCCTGTTAACCACTAAGCTACTCTGCTGAGTGTTTACTGAATTGAATTCAATTCCTGGGAGCCCGATGGTGCAAGGGGCCTGCCCAGACCCTCACTGCTTCCTCCAACCTCTCTGACTCTGACCTTGCCCATCCGCCCGCCTCCCTGCCTCTGCCCCAGGGGAGACCAAGAACAGCTGGGCCCCTCTTGCTCCCGAAAGGCAGAGCCACCCCGGGTTAGCGCCGAGACCCCTCCAGACGGTGCCCGTCACCGGCTGACCCTTAGAGGCTCTCCAGCATGCGGCAGGCATCAATGAGGCCCCAGGGATTGAATGAGGCACTATTGAGAAGCAGCTAAATACCGGCTGCATTGTGCTTCCTGATCCAGGGGCTTCGCTTTTTGTCCAAGAGGCTTGGAAACGGAGCCCCAGTTCACTTCCCCTCCCCCGGGCGCCGCCCGCCATCCTGGCTCATGTCAGGAAACACCAGGCTCTTGAAAATCAGTAATTGAGAGAAACATCTGCTGGTTCCCAAGGAGCACGAGGTGCTTGCCGAGTGGCGAGGGCATACGTGCGTCACTGACGGCCGGTTGGAAACACACATGTGAGTGCATGCAGGCACACACGTGCACGTGCGAGAGTCTTTCTGGTATGTTGTTATGGTTGAAAAAATTACAAGTGTCATGCCTGTTATAAAAATGCAAACAATTTACGAATACAAAAAAGTAAAAGGGATAGCCCACTCATCTAGAAGTCATCATGAACAATTTAATTTTTATCCTCATTTTTGCTGTAAAACTGGATCCATATTTTATTTACTGTTTCAGTTTCATTATTACTGCCCCACAGTAATTGCCAGCATCCATCCATTATCTGACTGCATTGGATTCAGTTCCTGGGAACCAGACAGTGGACCGAAAGGGCCTAGTCAGGGGCGATTTGCCCCACGGGGGGCGTTTGGCAATGCCTGGAGACATTTTTGAGTGTGGCAATGGGGGGGTGACGGTGCTTCTACCCTCTAGTGGGCAGAGTCCAGGTTGCTGCTGAACACCCTGCTGCATAGGACAGCCCCACAACAGAGATGATCCAGCTCCAAGCTCAGAGTCCGCTGCTCAGAGCTCAGTGTAAATTTCTGTCATCTGTTTTAATGGCCTCATCATCCCATAATGTGATGTACCAAGGTGTATTTGGTGGCATTTAGATGGTCTCTGGTTGATCATTTAAAAAACACCCCATGCAATGATATCCTCGTTCATATATATATATATATGAACGAGGATATATATATGTGCGTATATGTATATATCTGTTTTGTGTATATCTATATATACGTTTTGGGCCCTTCTGTGAATTTTTCCATTGGATATGATTCTGGAAGTTGAACTTGCTGGGTTGAAAGGTCAAGTGCATGTGTAATGTTGACAGGCACTGCTCAATATCCTCCAAGGCAGCTGTGGCCATCAACACCACCACAGACTCACTCACCCACGCCCACCCATTCCCCATTTGTCGTCCACTCTCCTCAATTAACAAACACATTTGGTTTGTTTTAAATAACTTCCGCATGTTACGCACCTCCGACATGTCCACTGACTGCTCGCTCACGGTGAATTCACTCCATTCTGCCAATAACTTCAAACGGTGATTGATATTTTGCTGACAGTGGATGTTTAAAGGTGTTCGATGTCAGTGACAATAGAAACAAAAATCCCATTAGTTCTTTCCATTTGGATAATAGCAAGAAGGATAAAAGGCACGGCTTTGTCTTTTCTTATTGAAGGAGTATTCCAAAATCATCAGGTTCTAAAATGATTCTAGGGACCATTTACTTTCCTGTTCCCCAAACGCACTTTCAGACCCAGGGCTCACCCACGGCTGCAGCTGCATCCACCTCCTGCGCGATGACTCGGGACACCATTTGGGGGCTGGGGGGGGCGGCGGGGAAGAATGTGTTTCTCTGTGTTGCTCAGAAACTCCCAAAGCTTCAGAAATGAATGGCGTTCTGCACAGTTCTCCCTGTGTCGTATAAAAAGGCAGCTCACCCCTAAACCGAGTGGCCCTTTGCAAACTAGAACAGGGTACCAGTGAAAGGAGAAGCACACACAGGCCAGGTATGTGCCATTTATTGATCTCTGAAATCTCTCTTGGGTCTGTGCTGGCTGGGGACGGAATCCAACCCTGAGTCAGGCACACCCGGCCTGAGAGGCTCAGGCCATAGGGCAGGGGGCGGAGTGGGAGTTAGTGTGGGAGCCTGGAAGGAGAGGAACGAGGCCAACAGGGCATCGCAGGTGTGCATGCGACCTGAGGGTGGAGGCTTGTCAGGCGTGTCAGCCTTGATCCTGGCACCTAGGAGGGAGGGAGGTTAGAGGGAGGGAGGAAAGATTGTGGCTAGTCGGCCAGGTGAGGAAAAGGTGGAAGTGGTCTGTAGACAGCGGGCATGAGTGCGGATCCTGGGGCTTGAGGCAGGGTGGTGAGACCGCACCCTCAGAACCGTCATCTGCCAGCCCATTTGCTGTGCCGCACGACGGAGGCCCAGCAAAGACACCTTCCTCCCTGGAGTGGCCCGGTGAAGGAGAGACAGTGGACCCGTGCGTGTCACAGGGCAGCCTGCACGGCTGGCTCCATGTACTGCCACCCCACCCCACTCCTACCTCCAGGCCAGGAGAGGGAAGGCCTGGGGAGCTGAGATGACTGGTACCTGGACGTCACCTTGGGGTCCTCAGCCAGGGGCACGTGGGGGGTGGTCAGGTGCCCCTCCCTGCCCTACCCATTCCCAGTGCAGTATCTGTGCTGTTAGGGTCAGGCAGAGGCTGTCCGGCCTTCCCACCCTAATTCCGAGCCCCTCTGCCAGCAGCCCTTGTCAGCCCAGGGTGACGGCACCTCCGCAGAGACCACCTGGGAAACCTCATTATGGGAGCAGCTGTCTGTTTTGGATACTGACAGATGCTTCTCAGATCTTTTTTTTTCCCTCTTTTACTATAAATATAATTATATGTGCCCTAAAATGCTGAGACGCAGAAGTATGTTACATGGAAGGGGATGTCCCCTGCTGTCTGTGGTCCCTCCTTGAGGGACCCACAGCTGGCAGTTTCATGCATGCCCTGCTGGTTCCTGGTCTATGCAGACATGGACAGTCACTCATTAATACAGGTGTGTATCAGAAGATTTCACCTGTATTTTTAAAACTGTATTTGTTGTTCTTTTCTAACCCAGTTTGGGCTCATCCTGTGAGGACACAGACTGACCGGTGGCTGTGCTTCCCAGGGTGCTGTCAGCCCTGCCGGGGACATTTCAGTGGTTCCCGGGTGATTGTGACCTTTGTGCAAACCTGCAGGGGGCCTTCGTGCACAATCATCTGTGCACACCAGAATAAATGTTTCGGGCCGGGCGCGGCGGCTCATGCCTGTAATCCCAGCACTTTTGGAGGCCGAGGTGGTGGATCACTTGAGGTCAGGAGTTCAAGACCAGCCTGGCCAACATGGTGAAACCCCATCTGTACGAAAAATACAAAAATTAGCTGGGCGTGTTGGCGGGTGCCTGTAGTCCCAGCTATTTGGGAGGCTGAGGCACAAGAATTGCTTGACCTGGAGGTGGAGGTTGCAGTGAGTTGAGATTGTGCCACTGCGCTCCAGCATGGGCGACAGAGCAAGACTCTATCTCAAAAAAAAATTAAAAAAAAATCAATGTGCTTTTTTATTCAATGTAGTCACTGCGTGCCTGCCTTGGGGACGGCACCATTCTAGGTGCTGAGGACACCACAGAGAATGAGTTCGCTCTGTGTCACTGATATTCCAGAGGGGAGAGGCAGAGAGTGCAGTGTTGGGTGGGTCATATACAGATTCCAGATCAGGACTGCAGAGATCAGTAAAGCGGGCACAGGGATGGGGGTCCTGGAGGCTGCAGGGTAGAGGGCTGTTTTAGTCCGAGACAGGGACGTGGGAGCCGGGATCAAGGCAACGAAGGGAGCAAACCATGCAGATACTGAGGGAAAATCATTCCAAGCAGGAGGAACAGCATGTGCCAGGGTCCTGAGGTGGGTCATGCATGGTGTTTTATAGAACAGAAAACAGGTGACTGGAACAGAGCACATGGGGGAGGAGCCCGGGGGAACTGGAAATGGGTGGTGAGCTCCCAGCTGTCGATATGCTGGAGCAAAGGTTCACCCCCGAAAATGTCCAGAGGTTGCTGTTTCACTCTGCGGAGGGGCTCCAGCTTACACTGCACATAAGTGAAGGTGCCGGACGGGGCCCGCTTAAGGGAACCTTCTCCGCCCACTGTGAGTTTGGATGCCTGCAGCTCATGGCTTGTGGGGAGAGGGGACAGGCAGAGGAGGAGCCTAGCCCAGAGCTTGGAGCTCTTGACTCAAGAGGTTCCATCTGGGAGGTTAACTCAAGTAGTTCTTGCTACAGCCTTGTGTACAGGGGACTTAGTTATCTCTCCATTTTCTTCTCAGATGAGGGTATGGCGAGATTTACTTAAGGTCACAGCAAATGGCAATGCAAGGACTTGAGCCCAGGACCACTGGGTGCAAGCTGCATGCTCTTAACCTCTATCCTAAGATTCTACCAAGAACAGCAGGGCAGGGAGCCAGTGCAGGCCCTTATGTGGGCCCCAGTCCCCACCCTTGCTGACCATGTGACTTCTCCCTTCTCAGCGTCCCTCCCCGACATGGGACAGTGTCCCAGGTTCACCTGTCCAGGAGCCAGGCGCTCAGCCGTGTGCTTGCCACAGAACAAGCACTCTGAAAGCAGTACAGTCTGGTTTTAAAAACGAGAGAACTGGCCTAGATTTGCCGCCCGCCCCCCAAACCTCAAGAGAAAGAGCAAATTTTTTTATCCATAAAAGGTCTTACCCTAAGAAACAGACGTGCCGTCGGGGGTGTTTGAAATGGCACCAGGAGCGATCAGAAAGTTATTCCTTTGACGGCTGGTTTGATTGTACTTAAAATTTGGGGGGCTGGAGTGGGGGGGCAGGGAGGTGGGTTCCCATTCAAATGTAGTGGGGGTGGGTGGGGGAGGGGACAGTAAATGAAGGGGCTGGAACCCCAGGGCCGCTGGGGTTCTGCAGAATGACAATGAGGCCCTGCCAGGCGGGTCTCATCCAGGCAGGCCTAACAAGATTAGATTTTCATAAATTTCAGACAGCGCCAATTCCTAATTCCTCGGTGTGCGGCCAGGAGGCCAGACAGGGCCGCATGCACGGGCTGCTTGTTAACCAGGAAGGACGCCAGCTGCCCCTCCCCTGGGACAGACTGTGGGGGTGGCTGTGGAGGGGGGTCGTCTGGTCTGGAAACCTCCATGGAGCCGACAGGAACCAGGTGGACTCTGCTCCCAGCTCCCCAGCTGAGGAGAGAGAAATGAGCCCCAGCACCCCAGTGTCGCCCCCGTTATTTCTGAGAAACTCAGTCGCTGCCGCACCCCCACCCGTGCCCCCGTGGGCTGGGCGGGTTCTTCTTGCACATTAACACATTCTCCAGCAACCCCCGCCCCATTTACAGCCACGAAACGTCCAAACAGGGATCCGAACCCTGAGACCCCTGCTCTGCCCTCAGTTCAGGTCCAGGCTCTGTCCCCAAGAACAGAGGTCCAGAAACTTGGAAGGGAAAGAATTGTGTCTTTGCCTTACCTGAGCTCTAACTGAAAGGTGGAGTCCCCTTGGATCCCAAATGCAGGCACCTGACCATCGTCACCTGGACTGCACCAAAGACACAGCTGGAGGTGGGAGCCACCGGCTTCCCTCCACAGGTCCGTGTCCCTTACAGGCCTTCCAGCTCTGGACCCTGTGGGTGTCCACTGCGAGGTCATTTAATGCGATGATACTTCTGTGTCGCACACGTGCCATCCTGTGTGTCATTCCCGTGTCACAAGTCCGCTTCGGAGTTTGGAAACTATTCATATAAATGGCTTCCTTTGTAAACCGATGTGTTTTCAGGACTGCATTATGAGAGAGGGTCACAGGCTGTTCCCCCACGGAGGGCGCCCAGAGAGAGGAGGCAAGGGACTCGGAAGCCCCGGACGTGGGGTTTAGCAGGCCTGGCCCGTCCCCTCGCCTGTAACTGGGTCCAGTGCTGCCCCTTGGGGCTTGCCATGAAAAACTCAGAGACAGGTGAAGTCTTTCGTGGTGAGGGGCTTGGCACACAGGAAGTGGCAGAGGAGAGGGCAGCTGTCAGCGTCTATGTTATGCCATGGCAGGTGCCCAGAACTCCTGGCACCTGCTTCCTTCTTCACCATCCGGATTTTGCTCTGCGCTGGCGGGGAGGTGGGCACCACAGGCCATAAATACCAGCTTCATGGACTGTTGCTGGAGGCGACACGCCAGACAATTGTCATTGACCCCAAGATTAATCACATTCAACACAAGCCCTTGGCTCGATCTCCCGCTGTTTCTGACATTCTGGGATAATCACACTCAGGACTGCTGGGCGTCGGGCACACTCAGGCTTTGGGGTGACAGGAACTCAGTGCTGAGCCCTGCACTGTGTGGTCTTTGGCGGTTGCCTCACCTCTCCCAGCCTCAGCCTCCTCTTCTGCAAAGTGGAGGTCCTGTGAGCACCGACTTCACAGAACGACAGTGAGAATTCAATCGGACAACGTGCGTAAAGGGTTCGGCCCCCCTGCCTGGCATCTAGGGAGCGGCCAGCTCACGGTTCCTGCCTTGCCAGTGTAGGACGAACCAGGACAGAGGCAGAGCTGTGCCCGCACCTCCCAGAGGGACTGCGCCTGTCTCTGGAGGAGACCACGAAAAGGAGGATGGGGCCTCTCCAGCAAGGCACATGAACCTGTTAATGTGAAATTATTCACAAGGAAAGAGGACACTAAACTAAATTAGAGTGACCTTATTTTGTGTGTGGAAGATGGGCTTGGTCACCCCCAAGAGCCTGCCGCATTCACCACCCTCCCCAAGGGAAAAATTATGAAGAAAAACGGCAGGAGCCCCCCAGCCCTCCAAGTGACCAGCACAGGCTTGATGCCCGGAATGAAATGAGAGCGACGGGATGTTTCTCCTTCCCAGCAGCTTCTGTTCCCACGGTGGGCTCTTGGAGCGGGGTCCAGCGCCTGTTAGCTCCCAGGAGACCTTGGGTCCAGCCACCATCCTGGGTGACCTTTTGGGACTGACTCGAGCTCAAATCTCCCACCTTGGGGACAGAAGCCAGTCAGGGAACACCGGGCTGAGCAGGCTTGTACTCTGCAGGCTGGCAAACCTCAGCATTTCCAGGGAGCATCATGGGGACGAGGGATGCTTTTTGTCCCCAGAGGAGTGTCAGTAATTGTGACAATGGTGACAGTGGAGTGTGCTGTGTTCTGCCCTGTTCTGAGCTCTTGCATCCATTATTTCACCCCTGCCCCTGGTTGGTTCTGTTTTTTACAGATGAGGTAACTTCTGCTCACAGAGTTAGATGCGTACAGCATCACACAGACAATGGATGCACGAGGACCACATCCTCAGATTCCCAGGGCAGGGGTGGGCGGACTAACGCCGTGGGCAAGCTAGGAAAATTTAGCAGGAGAATGAAACCCTTCCCCCTTTTGAGTTCCTATATGACGGCTCTGGGTTCAAGTCTCAACTCTGCTCCTAGTTGCATCATCTAGGGCTACTTCTCCCTAAGCCTTAGTTTCTCCATCTGCAAAATGGGCATGGTACCTAAACTGGGGAGGCTCAGCTCAGTGGCCCCGGGTCATGTGTTAGAATCATGACAATACTTACAGTGACTACAGTGAGTTTGGGTATGAACCAGACCACCTGCCCTCTCCTGCTCTGTCCCTTGTGGTCCATGACTGCTTGGCAGTGAGTCCTGTGGTCACGACAGAGTTGAGCCTAGGTCAGGGACAGCGGTAGGACCCACGCCTGGTGTCATACTGGGCATTTGACCTGGGATGTCTTTGCCCATGCCTTGGTAAAGGGGCAGTCTGTCAGATTAGGGAAACTGAGGCAGGATTGGTGTGGCTCCATATCTGCTGGTAGTCACTGAGTGACCTGGGGCCCAACTCTTGGCCAGAAATCCTGAAGCCACCCGCCCTGCAGATGCCTTGGGTGTGGCCTGCTTGGCCCTTTTAAAACTCTTGAATGAGGTTCCAGCCTTAAAGGACTACAACTTCACAGCTGGCTCCAAGGTCCTCTGGAGAGAGGGAGGGATGTGGCCGCCCCGGGCCACCTCTCCTTCACCTCTTGTTGGCAGTCCCGCTGGGGTTCCTTCCCTTGCCCGTGAGGCATCTGATCGTGAGAGTCCGGCTCTCAAGCTGTGACTGGGAATGGGCCCCACCAGCCTCCCTGCACTCCTCGGGACAAATACAGGTGCACAGGAGGATTCTGTGAGCTGCCGTGGGTGGAGAGCCGTGTTTACATTGGTGCCGCTTCATGCACACATCATGTTTTGCACTTGACTCCGAGGCCCTTGTGGGGAGGCACCTTTCTCTCCCCCAGGGGGTCTTTGCTGGTGGATTCACAGTGCCTGCCCAGAGAGATGTGTTGGAGGAGGGATCCCATGCTTGATGAACTCGGCCTGCAGTGAGCCCTGGAGTGCACCTTAGAGGCCCGTATGCTGAGTCTCAGGCATCCCGGGGTAGTGTGGGGTGGGGAAGCGGCAGTGTCAGGGCATGGCTGCCCCAGGCCAGGTGGGTCCTGGGACCAGACCTGTGGAGAGGGTGGCCGCCCACAGCCCTGCTCCTGTAATGCCAGGTGGGAACACGGCTGGGGCCAGGGATGGTTGGTGCACATGCCGTTGGGTCTCCAGTTTGTGACCGACCTCACCAGCAGGCACTGCATGGTCCACTCTCCAGAGAAGTGTGCTCCTGTCCCCTAAAGCTGAGCGTCCCCTGGAAGCAGCACCAGGGGTGCAAAAGTGCATGGGAGGTGCCCCCTCACCCCATGCCCGGGGTGGTTTTCACTGGACCTGTTTGTGGGCCCTGATGCTGCTGTGCCTGACCAGCCTTCCTCCCGCACAGCATCCAGGCCGGTGGGGCTTGACTGGAGCTGGATGGAGATCTCGGGGTCTCCTTGGCCAGAATACTCAGCCCAGGGTGTTCCCTTACTGATGGGTGGGGGTGACCCAGCTGCTGGCTGGGGCACCTTTCTTGCCCCCCTCAGCACCTCCATGTCTGGGCATCATGTCCAGGGGCATCCAGGAGGATCCAACTTCCAGCCTCTGCTCACCTACACCCTCTGCCTGTGCCCTCCTCTGCCTCTCCCTCCATGCCCTGCACCAAAAGTCTCAGTGCCCACCTTACAGGGAGCCCTCCAGGGTCTCCCATTAGATGCTCCCTCTGCGATTCCAGCGCAGGTCGGCTCTTTGAGGGTGGATGGGTTTGGGCCACCCTTGTTCTGGTGGAGCCGGGGTGGAAGTGAGCACCCCGTGTGTCCGGGTCCACCTCCAGGGAGCATTACGCGCTGAGCACGTGCCCCCCGCACATGCTGCTGCCCACTGTCCCCCGCTGACACAGGGTGACTGTGATGGACTCAAAGCGTGCCCCCGAGAGCCAGGCTGGGGCCCGGGCCCTCTGAGCTAGCCACTGTGCTTCCCTGTCACCTCCTGTGCCTCTCCAGGATGCTCCTGAGCCACAGTCTCGGCAACCCTTGCAGATCTCCCTCTCCCTGAGCCTGGCCCCGGGCCCTTGGCCCACCAGGTCTCGCCAGCAGTCAGTCGTAGTTCCTCTTTTCTGGAGAGTTTTTCCCTCCCCTCCCCCGTGTGAGTGAATTTTCCTGGGCCTGTGACTCAGTGGGTGTTGGTGCCCCGGGGACCAGGGTGACGCTTTGATGCCCTCCTGAGCCCAGTGCTCATTTCTGGGAGCGTTTTTCTCACTCTGTGGATACAAGCATCCAGAAGTCAGATCCGCCTGCCCCTGGGGCTGAGCCTGGCGGGGCCAGGAGAGCCATGAGGATTTGTCCACACCCATTCAGTCTGCAGGGGCCTCCTCCATTGCCCCTGCGTCCCGCCGGCCCTGCAGCCCCAGCTACTGTCTCGCTGCTGTCTGGGTCTTGCGGTCCTGCGGGC